GCTCTCCATCGTAGTTCTTCAGGCAAATGATGCCTAGAGGTCATTATTACGAATTGGCTATCTCAGATTTTCAATGTCGCAATCACAGTAAAATTTGTGTGCTTTCTCTCAAACTTGGACTTTTATGCTCCAGGCAGATGACGTAAGCCGAGTGCAGCGCCACTAATTTGCATATTGCAATTTTACTCAGCTACTCTTAGTGGACAACATATGCAAATTTTGCACGGTTTGGCTTACTTTTGAAAGAGTTATCGCTATTTTTGTGATTTTTCCTTAATTTATGATAACCAGTGTAGTTATACCTCGTTACCATAGTCACCGCCACAGACGAATGGCTAGGGGAGTTCTTACTTCAGACAAACTATACACAAAATACCGTAACATTAAATCAATAACAGGTAACGAGAGCTATACCTTAGATATGCTAATTAATTAAAGACGATCCTTAAGTTACGAAATCAGACAAAAATTTTATTTCCCTATCTCTAGAAATAATAAAGAGAACTTCTGCTCATAATTATAAACTTAATTATGAAACGATAATTCCGCGTACATTTTTTTTACAATTACTTTATTACTTTCTTTATTAATGGCCTAAATCGATTGAACACTTTAAGAAAAATTTTCACACATAAAACTTTTTAAAATTTGATAATTCAGAAACTATTCGACCGATTATGTTCAAATTTAGTATTTTGTCATTTATAATTAATTACATATTAAAAAAATATGCAAAAAAATTTTTTATCTTGCAATTAAACATTTTTCGACTATTAAGTAAAATAATATTTTTTTAACGTGGAATTAGCTTTTGATAAACAAATTTTATAATTGTTCGGAAGAATTTTTCGATTCACTTCAAAATTTCTCGAAATATAGCGCAATACATAGAAATTAAGAAAAAAAAATCTTTCGACTGTTAACCTTATTTTTTTGGTTACGTCTACCTCTCATATTTAGAGTTATAATTTGTTTTATTTAATTTTATAACCGTCGTTGAACAGCCGACCCAACGACTACTAATGTTCAACTCCGTAGCCTTGTATTTTTGAACCCCATCCCGAAGACAAGGGAACTCTTTGATCAAGTATTGGGAGAAATTTGACTTTTTGATGCGTTACATGAAGAGGAAGACCACGAGAGCCTCCCACGGTTAGCCTGGCGGCAAGGAGACTAACCCATGATCCGTCTACCACTGAAGATATTTCACGTCAGCACTGTGGTCGGTGCAAGCCGGGTACCAGTCCTCGCTTTGATTCGAACCCAGTTCACCTCATAGGAAGGCGAACGCTCAAGCCAAATTTTTTTTTTTTTTTTTTTTTTTTTTTAAATTTTTTTATTTTTTTTTTTATTTTTAAAAAGGCATTCAGAGAAGTATATTATTGAAGTTGGTTTTGTCTGAACTAAACAATTAACTGATTTAAGGCCATCGGACCATTAAGATTGATCCGATCACTAAATCAAAAGTTATTTAGGTTTTTTAGCGTATTATAAAATTCTTCAATGATGGCAGTTTAAAAAAAAAATTCCCGCTGGCAAACATCTTTCGAGCCTTCAGAATTAAGTTTTGGGTTTCAAAGAAACATTGATTTGCTCTCATTTGGTAACTCTAGGGAGATTGTCTGAAAAGGTAACACTGATCTCCTGTCCCATAATCTTTATTCAGTGATGGAACATGCATCTAAAATATAAAAATAGGGAAGTAATTTAATTCGATATTAATCACTTTCTTAAATTTACTACTTACTCATAACTATCACTGAATATTAACATTATCAAGTATTTATATGTAAAACGAAAATCTTCCGAATATTCGTTTAATAATAAACTGAAAGAAATCAGTAACAATATCTCACTAATTTTTATTTCTATTTTAAAAGTTTTAAGCACTGTTCAATCACTGGTACTGTTTTAAAAAGAGTAAACGAAATTTCAAATTGATTTGGTCTTGATATATAACATGGTTTCACTTGATTAACAAACATTTTATGAAACATTAGCATTGAAAGGAAACTTTGATAAATTAAAAAGTGGCATTCTGAGCTATGTAAACACGCGTTTCAAGCTTTGCCCGTTTTCTTAAACAGGCATTTCTTGTCCGTTTTCTAAAATATGAATTTCAAGCTATGCCCGTTTTCTGAAACAGGCATTTCATGTCCGTTTTCTAAAACACGCATTTCAAGCTATGTCCGTTTTCGAAAACAGGCATTTTTTAAGCTACGCTTGTTTTTTCAAACGTATTTCAAGCTATGCCCAAAATAAAAAGCTCAACGACGAACCTTTCAGAACTAACTTATTCAAGTCTTCGAATCAATGGATTCAAATCAATTGCTCAAACCAAACGACTTAGCAATAAATCAAACGCTCATTCACATGATTTGAAAAGACTGAATTCCCGACTAATTTAGTTTATCGAAGTAGATTTCGAATTTTTTTTTTCCTTCCCCTTTTACTCGCATTTTTCTCTTTCCAATTTCAGTGTTCTTTCCCTTCCCCCGCCTAATTTCCCATGTTCAAAGCTGTCTCAATTTAACTACGCATGAGGTATTCCCAATAAAAAAAAAACTCTTTCTTCTGCTTTACTACATAGAATCAGGACTTTGGAGTAGGAGTAAAAGAATATTTTGCAGTCAGAAGTATTAGCTAGACTGCTTAAAAGTTAGATTCTATAAGTTAAAAGAATCTTGCGAAAATTATTTAGAAAAATATTTATAATTAGTATGCTAAAAAAATATCCCCCAAACGAATATTATGTCGATTATTTAAATTGTAACTTCAAAATTAATTTATCACATTTGAACGTTTTTGAGCCAATGTTTGTTACAGCTATTGAAAAAGTACATAAATTCCAAAATCAAAATTATTCAAATTAGTTGAAAAGTTAGTCAGAAAAGATATATAATTTTATATAACATACAGTCGGACTTCTATTTAAATAACTTCCCTTTTGCGAATGTTTCAATTTTGCGATTTTTTTTTTCAGGGAACCATTTGGAAATTTTTTTCATAAAATAACTTCCAAATAGCGAAGTGAATTTTCTAATTAACGAACTTTTCTTTAAGATCCACTTTCCCTATTTCCCAAAATATTTGGGAACATTTCAAACGTGTTAATGCATTTTATGGGGGAAATGACCTTGACTGGATTTTCGAAACCACTTAGCTTTTAAGAGTAAACGGTAAAATCCCTTTTCTTTTTTGCTTGCATTTCAAACGAAAAACTCTGATAAAATGAACGGATTTTATCAGTAGCAATTAAACTTAAGAACGCATGTGGTAATGTACGTTTAAAATTATTTTTATAATAAATGTAGCTATAATTTTATGCATAAATTTACCTTTTTTTTGTTGAAAATGTATGTAGCGTGATAGTGTAACACTGGATAATGTCTTGCTCTATTCTTGCTTTCCATACAGATTTCTTTTATATGGTTAAGATTTATAAAATAAATAGTAGATACTAGTTTACAAGATAAACGTGTATTAATTGCGATTTTATTTATGTCTATATTGAAGCTTGTTTTGAGTTATTTAAAGATTTCAAAACGTGATTTTTTTTATTTAACGAATTTTCCATACAACGAACAACGATTATCGGGATTTAGCGACATCGTAAAATAGAAGTCATACTGTATTTGTAATAGTTCCTAGTTTCAGAATACTCTTTAGGGAATCTTCTCGTCATACGATGTTTAAGCTGTGCTCGTGAGGAAGTCTTCAAAAGCTTTTAAAGAAATATAAATCAATGAAATCAGCTCAGAATTAGATGATGCTTTGTACAAATGGTCTATTCAAAAAAGGAGAAAAACCGATTCCGAGAAAGGTGACTTGACAACTTTTTGTTTTATTTTGCTCTTTGTATCTTTGCTTCTTTTATCTCTGTTGTATCTTTGCATGCAAAGTTATTGCTAATGTTATGAACGCTAAAATAGAATTTCAAAAAACTGATACAACAGAATTTAGTTTTTAATTTTTTTTTGCAATCTGTAGCTTACCATATAAAGATGCCAAATTTACAAAAATCCTAATTTTGAAATTTTTGTCGCTTACGTTAATTTTTTAATTGCACGGCTATATATCTGTCTGAGGCAATAGTGCAAATGAATTTTAAAATAGTTGATAAAAAAGACGCTTACTTGAATAGTATATTTTTACTACCACTACAATATTTGTTTATTCAAATTACTCATAGAACAAACTATTTTGACAAAACCTTATGACTAACTGGAAACAGAGTCAAAATGCATCAGCAATTTTTTTTTATTCTACTCTTTGAAAAAATAGATTCATAAATTATATTCTAATTAACGGATTTGTATCAATCGCCACGAGTTATAATTTTGATCAACTGATTTGGACTAATTAGTTAAAATCGATAGTTTCTAATTAAAATCACAGAAAAGAGACACTTATTCGAACTAGCACAATAATAGATAAACAGTCTACCATCGAATTAACATTCGATTAATCGATTCGAATTAACAGTGAAGTAAATATTCGAATATACAAGTCTTAGTGATTCGAAAAATTTTCTTTCTTACATTGTCTTCTCTTCAATTAATTAGTTAAATCAAAACAAAAGTTTTCCAATTTGTAACATTACTAATTTGGTACCAGTAATCTGCTTTACTTTGCTGATTGGGTAAAAACAAACATGATAAACGTTTGCACCAAGCTACACTTGTTTGTCTAAAACTGTAATTTTAAAATCTTAAATCAAACAATAATAGAAGTACATTATCAAAACAAAATACCTGACATTATAAAGAGAAGTTTGCGGTGATTCCGTTAGAGCAACAAATCTTATACCGAAAGAATAAAATTTGGAACAAGATTACTTTTTTCTCAACTAACTACAATTTCAACAGACAGGCCAAATGAGAGTCCTATAGCGCATGCGCATAATAAATACGCGCTTCTTGCACAAAAAACAGGATTTATATTTTTAACTACATATTATTGTTTTTAATTATATATTACTATTTCTAATTATGTATTACTATTTTTAATTATTATATATTAGACAAAATACCCAACTTAGTGAACAACGTTTGGACCAACTTAAAAAATATATATATTTAAAATTTTTTTTCGTATACCTTTACAAAGCGATTGCCTGTGTAAAAATATAATTGCGTACTACTTGGTGCTGTCTCTCCTATCTGTCCTCTTCTACTTGACGAAGGTTTATAAGTCTATTTTGAGTACTGAAAATTTATGTAATTGCAATAACCAATAAATCTATCCTTGTTGGATGGAATTTTTAATTAAAAGGAAATTTGATTAGGATTTGAACCGTAAATAATAATAAATAACCGATAATAAAACAGTTTTATTATTCCTTGTGAATTTCGTTTCACAGTAAAAATGCACATTAAAAATATTTTTCAATAAGTAAAAAAATGCTAAAAATTAAAATTTATCTTTTTTACTGCAATAAATAAAAAATTATGACTAAGCTCAGTAAACCGAAGTTTTGTTTAGATTTTTTTTCCTAAATTTCTAAAAATTTTCTTTAATTTCTAAAATTTCTTCTAAAATTATTTTGAGTTTACTTTCTTCTAAGCTTCTTGGCAAAAATAAAATTTTTCTGTCATTTTTTGAAGCTTTGGGCGTAGCAAGATATATTGTCTCTTTACTGGGTAAATCATTACAAAAGTTCTTCAATGAGAAACATTACCTATATTATATATAAGACCTACAAAATTCTTAATTTCACAGGTATAATTGAAGAAATGATTCATTCTCCTTCAAGAATTCATTTTTAGGTTAGCGTATGACGTAGAATAGGAAGTACAACAATTTGGCGATTTAATCTCAAAATGGGTGGCATTTCAATATCATTCTATAATTTATTTGTTAAATTAGTTCTGAAACACTTTTTTATTGATTAAATAGAGCGTTTGCTTTCCAATGAAGTGAACCGAGTTCGAATCCCAGCGATGGCTGGTCGATAAGAATCCACATCCGGCTTGCAGATTCTGACGTGAAATATCCTCAGTGGATCATGGGTTAGAGTCCCTTTGCCGTCAGGCTAACCGTGGGAGGTTCACGTGATGTAACGTAGATGCGTTTCATAAAAAAAAACCTTCACGAAGGCTCCCAATACTTGATTCAGGACTTTTCTGGATTGGGTTCAAAATTTCAAGGCTACGGAGTTTAACACTAGTAACCGTAAACACACTTGTTCAACGACGGTTATGTATTAAAAAAAAAAAATTTGAACGTATAAAAATTTTTATGCTTTACAAGTTTTTCATCTTTAACAAATTAATTAACAACAGTTATATTTAATTCATATAAATTCCCCGTTGTATTATATATTTGCCTTTGAGTTGAAGGTTTAGAACTTTTTGTGTAAGAATTATTGTATTTTAACCAATCATTCAAAAGTTATGATGAGAAAATATGACGTATTAAAATAATTCGTATAATATAGTATATATAGAGAGAGTATAGTATATATGAGTAGAGTATTGCTTTTTGAACATATGTATGTATATGAACAATATATGTATGCATGTGCAATGTATGCATGTAAAATAAGCTTAAGAAATAAAAAAATTGTTTGCTATTATAACTTTTGATTGGTCGGATTTTCATCTTGTAAAGTGTCTAACAAATCTCCTAAAGTATTCGTGGCGAAATATGCTGGCCAAAAACGTACTTTTTCAGAAAAAAAAATTTTTTTTTCCTTCTAAAGTTCGGATTTATCACCGTCCAGGATAGGGGAATAAATAAAAATTTGAAGCTTTCATAGTTTAACCTCTATAACGGTTCAAAAATTTATTGCTCTAAAGTTATGTGTCACGTTTCTATTTATATCTTTTCAATGTTTGCTTAAACTACAGTAATTTTTTCACATTAAACCCTCAAAACAAAGACACATATATGTTGAATTTTCATTCATTAATTTGTTAGTGATGAAAAAAATTTGAAGTCTTTTTGGAGGAATTGGTGTTTCGTTTAGAAGAACAAATTTAGAGCGTTATCACTCATATAATGAACCTGACAATGACTCATATAATGACGACAAAGAATAAAATGGACATGCCACGTTATCAGAATGAATGAAGACCACAAAAAGAGTTTTCAATGCCAGACCAGTTGGCATACGAAAAAGAGGCAGGCCGAATTTGAGATGTATAGATGACCTCGAAAAATACCTTTTGTTCTTAAAAACTAAAAACTGGAAAACGCTAGCAGGAAAAAGGCTTGCCTAGAAAACCTTCTTGAGAAGGCCCACCCTGGACTGAAGAACCATTGATGATGAGGAGGAGGACTTCATGTTATACGTCATATGAGTTAACCCATAAATGAAAGAGCGAAATTATGAAACATTTTTTAGTTTTTGTAGGCAGGAAACTGGCAGATCTATTTTTTTTAAATTCGATGTACTGTTAAATTATGTGTTTTATTTTGAGAATATAGTTCCAATCTTCTTCACACTAGCAACAGATTCAATGAAGTTGTTTTTTTCTTTGTTTACAATAAAGCTTTTAAATTTAACAGGTTCCAGTTTCTATATTAACTAAAATTAATAAAGAAGGGAAATCTTAACTATAAAATTCTAAATAATTCAGCTCTTTTAATGTTTTGAAATAAATGCTAATGAAATATTGAAGAAAGTCGTGTTAATGGAACTTAGTGATGCAGCTACTGCGGAAATATGCCTTCCGTGAGTGGGGAAAAATGACAACTAAGTGATTTCTCCGTATATAAAAAGCACTACCGTATTCAGTACAATATTCAGTTGTTTGTAAACATGTTTAATAATTTCAAGGGTGAATAAAAGGCTGCTATTAATTTTAAAAAAAGAAAGAAAAAAAACTACTCATGATAATGTCATTCTAGCTTTCACTTAGTCTTAGGAAATTCGCTCATTTAAAGAATATAGATTATGAATAAATCAAATTACAATTTTTTCTTTTAAAAATGATTAATGAAGCGAAAATGATTATTTAGTGTTGGTATCTACAGTGTACCAGTGTAGTTATCTATCGCCTGTAGTCACACAATTAGGACTGGGCTATAAATCGATATATCGCGACATATCGATTTAACGCCTATATCGGCAAACCGATACAGCAACTTTCATTCCAAGCGATGCATCAGAAATCTGATTTAAGCCGTCGAGTGAAGAAGACGATATAACGATATAGCGATACACGCAAGGACTTTCTCTTACGTTCCGATGCCAACTCGCGCTGTGGAAGACGATATTGTTTCGTTATGTTGAGACGGCCTTGACTGATGAGCGGTAGAATCAGAATCACTTTTGAGACCTTATATCGTTATATCACATGTTCGTTTTCGCACCTTCGCGATTTGAAATCGTTTCTTGTAGATTATTTTCAATGGGATTAACTTCGTGATCGCCGTCGTAACCTTGTTCTGAACGCAATCTATTATTGAAAAGAATTTATAAAGAAAAGTTTCTTCATTAATTAGGTAAGTTTTTTATTTATTTTCTGACAAAACTTTTTTTATATTTTTAAATGTGAAAATTATCGGAAATCTAATTTAAGGCACCCATAAGGAATTAAATTACAAAGTAAATAAATTTGTTAGGTTATTTTTTTACTTTCTTTTAATTTATTAAAAACCTTTCGGATAAAACTTCTAATAATTTAATGGGCTTCTATTACTGATTTTAAATTTATAAATCTTGAGTTGTTTTTATTTTTAGAAATAAAGTTAAAACAAAACTTATTTTTTGGACATAAGTCAATAAACTTTATTTGTTCAAAAGAATTTGAAAAGTTTGCGAATTTTATTCATTTTTTTTTTTTTTTTTTTTTATCAATTACTACTTCGTTTTATTAGAGAGTAAAATCATTATTTTTTTTTAATTTTCGTTTTATATTATTAGTTAATTAGCTAAATATATTACCGAATATCACAATTCTTTTGTTTTTATTTTTAAGAATTTAATTAAGAAACTTTGCCTTACTTTGTTTTTCGTTCATAATTCGGTCATTATTTAATTTAATTTAATTATTTATATGAAATAATAATAAAAATAGTGTTTAAGAAGCATTTTTTTTCTAAAATTTATTTAGCTCTTTGTTTTAAGCATACAAATAATTTTTTAACGAACTTATTTTTTAAATTTTGTTCCTATGCTGTTAGGTAAATATATTGATAAATTTCACTTTTATTTATTTTTTTATTTTTAAACTAAGAAATCTTTTGTTATTTGCGTGATCATTTTTAGAAAATATAACAAAACTTGTGTTTACTTCTTCATTAAGAATTTGAACATTACGATCGAACTTAATAATTCTGTAATTATTTACGCATAATAGTACAAGCAAATATTGATTTGTTAAAAAAAGTTTTTTTTTTTAAAAAAAAAAAATATTTTTAACACTTTGTTTTAAGTGTATAATGAATTTCTTAACAAACTTTTTTTTTAATTTTTTAAATTTTCTTTCAATAATTTCAGCTAGATATCTTTATAAAATTCCCTTTTTATTTTTAAACTGAGAAATCTTTCAGAGAACGAAAATTTTAAGAAATTATTACAAATCTTATGTTTACTTTTTAGTTTAAAATTCGAACATTTTTAATTTTAAACTTCGGCTTTTAGTCAATCTAACTTTTATTTTAATTAAAATATATTTTGAAATTTTAAAATCAGCTTTTGTTTAATAACAATATTTTTTTTCATTAAGGGTGTTTTAGGGGTTAACTTAAATTAAGACTGCTTATACCTTATAAACGATAAAGAAGTGCAAATATTTCATTCTGTATCTACACACATTTTTTCAATAAATATTTTAAGTAAGATTTGTACATCTTAGTCAATTTATTTAATATCTTTCTTTAGCAAAACATATATATTTTCAAATTTATAAATTGATTTAAATCAATATGCGTATGAAGTCTTGATAGAA